TCAGAGAACGGTTTGGGTTGGAAGGTATCTTAAAGCTCATCTTTTTCCAACCCCCTGCGTGAACAGGGATGCCTTCCCCTAGACTAGGTTGCTCAAAGCCTCATGCAACCTAGCTTTGGACATTTCCAAGGATGGGGCATCCACAACTTCTCTGGGCAGCCTGTTCCAGTGCCTCACCACCCTCACAGTAAAGAATTTCTTCCTAATATCTAATCTAAACCTACTCTCAGTTTGAAACCATTCCCCCTTGTAGTCTCTTTCCATTTTTCTTGTAGGCTCCCTTCAGGTACTGGAAGGTGCCTAAGCCTTCTCTTTTCCAAGCTGAACAATCCCAATTTTCTTAGCCTTTCCTCGCTGGAGAGGTGCTCCATCCCTCTAATCAACTTGATGGCCCTCCTCTGGATTCACTCCAACAGATCAATGTCTTTCCTGTGCTTGGGACCCCAAACCTGGATGCAGCACTCCAGGTGAGGTCTCACCTGAGCAGAGTAGAGGGGCAGAATCCTGCCCCTCACCCTGCTGCCCACACTGCTTTTGATGCAGCCCAGGACACAATTGGCTTTCTGGGCTGCAAGTGCACATTGCTGGGTCATGTCCAGCCTCTCATCCAACAGCACCCCCAAATCCTTCTCTGCAGGGCTGCTCTCAGTCCTTTCATCTCCCAGCCTGTATTGATGCTGGGGGTTGCCCTGACCCAGGTGCAGCACCTTGCACTTGGTCTTGTTATACCTTATGAGATTCCAGTGGGTCCCTCTGGATGGCATCCCATCCTTCAAGTGTGTCAGCTACACCACTCAGCTTGGTGCCATCTGCAAACTTGGTGAGGGTGCACTCGATTCCTTCATCTGTATCATTAATGAAGATATGAAATAACACTGGTTATTAAATAATACAGACCCCTGAAGGACACCACTTGTCACTGATGTTCATCTGACTCTGAGTCACTGACCACTACCCTCTGGATGTGACCATCCATCCACTTTTTTATCCATCTAACAGTCCACCCATCAAATCTCTCTCCCACTTAGAAGGAAGGGTGTTGTGGTGGACTGTACTACAGGATTGGTCATATCCAATCCACAGACCAATGCACTCAGAGCTGTGGACCCCTAATGGGATGGAGCCACCCCCTCTGCTGTGCCTTGGCACTTACTGACTTGCTGGAGGACAGCTTTTAGTGTGGAGCTGGCCATGGCAGCTGAGCTCTCTTACCACATGGAATGTGGTGAAACTCTACCTTGTGTTGGAATGTTTTGGGGGAGAATGTTGTGCGGGAATGTTTTGCATCAGAACCTTTTTCTCTGCATTTCTCTTCTTGCTTCCCCTTTGTGCCCTAGTCTGAACACAAGTTAGCCGACTGCAGTAACACATGAACTGCCATCACCACTGACTGCTGGGTCAAGACTACTTTCTTAGGATGTGTTAACTCATAAGGACAAAAACCTTCGTCATGCTTCACATGCGGTTGTTCAAATTCAGGCATTTGTGTATTATGAGGGACAAAAACCCCACCCATTTTATGATCTTGGATACCTCTGACATTTGGACCTCTAAAGAGCCAAAGTGCATACTTACAACACATTGCAAGCAGCTCTGACTACTGGTAAGTGACCTTTTCCCCCAGAAAGTTTTCTTACATTTTCATAATAATATATTTTCATCGTAAGTTCAAGATTGATAAAAAGGTAGGGTGCAGCCAGTCTGTGCTGCCTGCCAAGTAATCTCTCTTGTCTTCATGATGATCTAGAAGCTGCATCTCATACTGGAGATTGTTAATTCAGTGTTACTCACTTTGTTCAGCATGATCTTCATTAATTATTTTAAAATTATTTCATTAATCATTCTTAAACTATAAATTCACGTTTTTGATAAGGAATGAGGCATACCTGGGTTTTCTCAGGAATGGGAGCTTTAAAACAGATAAATACAGGAATGAACATGGTTTTTCCTTATTTATATGTGTTAACCATTGCAGTCATCTGACAGTAATGCACAGCTCATGGAAAAGCTAAATGGTGAAGTTCTGGTTTTGTTTTGGTTATTTTAAGATAACTGCTGCTCAGTTAAATGGAGCATATCAAGTTACCTTCAACTCAGGCCCTTAGTGTTTCTAACACTATGATGACATGATCTCACCACCTGTGTGATTTATTGTCATTTATAGTCTTGTGAGAGAATGTTCTTTGGTACTGAATGAAAGGCTGGCGAATATTACTGGTTTCTGTAAGTAACATTGTCAATCAGCTAACAAAAATATGAGTATTGAAGCTCACTCCACCATGGATGTTAAAATACCTCAGTATTTTTGTGATTTCACCTCTAGCTTATTTTTCAACTTTTTGATCTTCGGCAGTCTTGACAGTTTTCAGAGCTAATCAGGATTTAAGCAAACTGTGGCATTTACTAGCCAAAAATAAGATGACTCTGCTAATGAAAGGACAAGTTTAGTTTCAACAAAATTTTCAATGTTAAGAGCAAGAAAAATAATTTTAATATAAATCCCATGAAAGGAAAAAACCCCAATTTTATGCATTTTAAAATCCTATGATTTAAAGGTGAGAGTACTGTTACACATAATAAGCTTACTAGTTCAAATATTTTTCATGAAACTATATGTTGCACATGTATATGTAGGTTGTTTCATACTGTTAAAGTTCCTAGTGCAAATAACTGTTTTATATAAACTTTTTTCAAAAGTACATTCATTCCAATACCTTGCACAGTTACAGACTTATCTGTCCATACGTTTATTATTGTCGTGTGGTCTTCAGTGTCAGTGAAAGTCAGTCTGTTCATTTTTAAACTGGTCTGTTCATTTTGTTCAGCCTTTGCAGTTTGGTAGTACATCAGTTTCAGTGTAAGCAATACAATGTCACTGTGGTTGTCTTGCTGTTGTATAAAAAAAAATCACTATAAATGTCTCGAAACCTGGCTAAATTGGAAAATTCTATTTTGGATGTATTTTTAAAAATAAATTGTAACTTTCTATTATAGAAAACAATTGCAATATCCTATTAGTTTGTTAGTGTTTTATACAGATTGTCTATAGACCTAGAACACTGTATATGATTACAAAGAGTTTGTGGATCTTTCACATTTTTTTTACACTATGTAGTATTGTCAGTTATAATCAGTCTCTGGGATTTGTGATAGCTGCAATATCTTGCTGTTTGCTAATCTTTGTTGCTATTAACCCTTTGTTTCCATGCTTACTACTTTCTGGCCTATGAATTTGAAAATTAATAATTTATTGTAAAATTTAATTTACCAATGATTTGGTTTTTAAAATACTATATAAAAATATGTATTGTAATGAACCCTGATCACAGATCTTCATGTCATATAATGCCATAATGGATATTTGGAAATTAGTATTTGATTCATTATGGATCAGTTTGAAAGTTATAGTATGGTTGAACAAAGTTTTTTTTCTTTTGAAAGAAACAGACCTCAGATGTTCAAGTAAACTTATCTCAATTTTAAATATTACTGGATAAACAATTAATTTAATAATGACTTGATTGTGAAAATGCTGATAACCTGCCACAAGTGTACTGAAACCTAAGACTTGTCACAAAAGAGATGCTGTGGTTAGAGGACAGAGCACAGAATCAGCAGGGCTTGTGTTTTGTGTTTGAACACAAAACCACTTGTGTTAAAAACTAAAAAATTTTCAATGAGAAACTTCAACCAGTAGACTTTATGTTGAAATGGGTATATTTCCACACTGTGAACTTGGCCAACACAACCTTTTCCTAGTCCCATTTTCCTTTCAAGTTTAACACCACCTATTAAATTTTTCACTTCAACTCCTGCTTTGTCCCTTCCCATAGGCCCAGTTGCGATAGCGACAGTGCCCAGCAGCTTGGCCTCTTCGTGCTGATCAGCCAGTGCCGGTCAGCACTGAATGATGTGTTTACTGGGTGCACTTCCAAGTCCTGCCTGCTCTGACAAAGTACTGTGGGTCTATTTTTGCTTTTGCCTAGCCTGTGTAGCCCTACCCTTGTGAAGGTCAGGGAAGTTGTTTCTGCACCTTGCCAGACCAGCCTTGCAGCAACAGCAGTAAAGTGCTCCAACATCCACACAGAACAAAGGTATTTCTTCCTGCTGATGCAGGATCAGGAGAAGGTAATGGGGCAAGACAGAGAAGGCGGGGTGGAGACGTGGACCAGACAAGAGATACACATTCCTTAACAGCCTGCTAGAATTGGTAAAATCCAGGAAGAGACAAGACAAGACTCTTCTGTTGACCATCGGCCACAGTCTGCATTGGGTGAGAGGTCACCTCCCCTATCTCCTGATTTTTGATCTAAGCAATCCTGGACTCCTTACTGCCAGTCTTGGCAACTCTTTTGTCATCACAGATCTTGTGACATATGTGAAATAAGAGATCGTCAGTAGACATTTCTATTAAAAAGGGGTTTTCTTCCCCCTATCCTGAAGTTCTTTGTATCTTGCTGACCTTCACGTGTGAGCCGTAGGCAAATGCTCTTTTTATAGATTATGCAGACTAGGAGCCAAATCGCAGTGTCCTCATCAGAAAATACCCTTCAGCGACCTCGACAGCGGCCTGCAGCAGGCTCGCACCGCCGGCTGCTGTGTTCGCACAGGCCGGGGGCGGCGGCACCGCCCGGGCCGGGGGGCGGTCCCGGGGCGGCCCCGGGCGGGCACAGCGGCGGCCCCGCCCGAAGATGGCGGAGTACGTGCAGGTGCTGAAGCGGGCTCTGAAGCACATCGGCGGCCACGGCGGCGCCCGCGGCGCCATCCTGCAGCTGCTCAGGTACCGCGGGGCCCGGCGCAGGCGGCAGGGCCTCCCCGCTCTCCGCCCCGCGGGGTCACCTTGGCGGGGGGCGGGCGCTGCCCCGCGGGAAGCGGAGCTGGCGGGGGTGGGCACACGGCACGGGGCGGCCACTGCTCCGCGCGGCGCCGGGGCGGAGGGCGGCGGGCGCTCCCTCACGGCGGGAGGTGCGCGGTGCCGGGCAGGCCTCGGCAGGAGCCCGCTCCGCCCCGCTGGGGGAGGTGTGTCCGGCCGGCAGCGGTGCTGTGCTTAGAGCCGTGCCGGGCCGGGCCAGGGCCCCTGGGTTGTTTTCTTTAGGCAGTTTGGAGGGTTCCTCGGCGCTGAGCTGTCAGTACTGCCCAGGCAGGTTTTCCTGGTGTCCAGCCGCAGGCCTTAGTCCCGCTGCCACAACCGTGTCTCTGCTGTAGCTGCCCCCAGCGCTTCTCTGTGCGCCATCGCACCCTTTGCTCTGAGTCGCCTCAGGCTGGCAGTGACTTACTTGAACTGTGCAAGCCTGAAAGCCGTGCGTCTGCTGAAACTACTCGGTGTAGATCAGGGAATTACTTCACGTGCCTGACCGGCTCTAATTCTTTAACACCAAACTTCACGTCACATCTGCTTCTTTGTCACTGGGTTGTCAGCACTGACCTGTGCTCAACATTGCATACCTCCTGGCCCCAGTGGCACTTCGTGCAAAATTAGTTGCAGCCTTTGTTTCCATTCAGTGGAATAACATGGCTGTGTGCCTTCATCCCCGAGTACAGAACCTTGCACTTGTCCGCCTTAAACTTTCTTCTGTCGTTTTTCCCCACTGACATCTCATCTCTTCCTTGTGACAGCATGCTTGAAGCTGCTCCCAAGTAGGAGTAGCTGCAGGTTTACTAAGGCACTCTTTTTTCATTCAGGTCCTCGATGAAATATAAGGTGGAAGTGTAAATGGTATGTGATCCAAATTCACCAGTGTCAGTAACCTGTATTGTCTTTGTAGCTGGTCCCGGAAAAAAAATAGAATATTTACAGCGAATGTTGTAGGCCTGACTAAGTGCCAAAAAGCCTTTTTTTAATCAACAGCGGGAAGTCAGGAGTAGAGGGTAGAGGTACTTTGCAAATATGAAGTTCCCTGCTATATACCAAGGGCTTTCTTATGTTTGAACAAACAAACCAAACTTTCTGAGTCTTCTTGAAGACTGTTTTTTTTTCTTCACATGTCATAACGGCCCTTTCTCTGTTATTTCTTGTAGTTTAAATTGATCTGTTTTGAGTGGTTAAACATAACATTTTGCACAGTTGCTGATCAGGCCTTGTCATTATTGTCATATATAGCTTTAGTAATTGTTTTGTTCACTGAAGACAGCTCAGTTCACTTGTGCGTTCAAGGATCAACTTGTCTTTTTTTTCCCTCACATGTCACTTAATTAACAGCTCCCTATTGCCTTGTGACATCCAGGTGTTTTCCTTGCATGAGGCGCACAGTGCTTCAGATCTTACTAGTCTCCAGGTGCATCACCTTGTGCTAGACCTTTGTACCATTGAATTTCATTCTGGTGGTGTCACTATAGCCCTGAAGACAGTACAGAATTTCCTGTATAATAATGTGACCTTCCTCAATAAGGTAATATCATAATCTGTCAGACCCCTGTGCTTTCTGGAGGTGGAATTTTTGTTTTGGTTTTGTTTTGGTCAGGAATGCTGTACAGTGTTAAATAAGGCTACTATCAACATTCTTTGTGAAACTTGCCTAGTAACCTCCAACCAGCTCTGTATTCTTTCAGTTGAGCAATATATTGCTTCCCTTATAATTATTATACATTTTAAATTATTTTCTCCTTTGTTTTACGGCATGATATTGTATGCTTTCTGAAGTTAGCTTCACTTTTGGGAGGTCTCAACTTTGCATTCCTACTAGCTGTGAGGACAGGCAGCTTCTGGCTTCTCTGTCTCTACTGTAAAAAGCAGCTCAGATAGACCTCCCTCATGCACAACTTCATAGAGGGAAATTTTAAGCTGTTAAGCAGTATGACAATACATGATTTCCCTGGCTAGTATTTTATGCTATTGTAATTATTGTTTTCTGTCACAAACCTGCTCCCCTCTACCCAAGTTGTTTTCTCCAGTTTGTTTTCCTTCTCAGGCTATAACTATGACACTGGCAGTTAGGTTTCATCAGAGTACCTCTTCCTAAGCACATCTTAATGAATGTCTTGTCAGGGATCTTTTGTGAGTCAAAGATTGCAGGCTGTGTCAACACCTTTCTACCATACGGAAAAAGAGAGCAGGTAAGACTGGGGGCAGTGCTCTCCTTTTTTTTCACTCAGAAGATTGACCTTACAGTGCTAGGTGGAGAATCACACCTGATCCTCATAACTACACTAACCTCAAACATAGCTGCTGCCTCCTGTTCACCTTTCAAGCCATTAATTCATCTGTCCCAGCTCAAGGAATAGACTTGGTGTTTAAAGGAAGAGTAATCAAGGTGTTCTTTCTTGCAACAATTGATATATTTAAGAAATAATTATTTCTTGAACTCGGAAAAATGATTTCCCGCAGTCAGGAGACTTTTCCTCTGAATTTCCCTGCTTTTCTCCTACATCTTTTCCACTGAGGTGGCTACAACAGGTTTATGTGCAGTAGAAGTCAAATTATTAAGAGTCTATGTGGCTGGAAACATTGTCCTTATTCAAGTCTCAGTGAAAGTGGCTGAAAAATGTCCTCTGGAAGCTATACATACCTCTTAGTGTCTGATATCAATATTAAGGGCATGAAGTCAGGACAAGGGCACAAGAACCCTTACAAGAAATGGAAGGGAAGAAGAAAGGGAGAGCAGGAGTGAAATGGCTCTTCTTTTTCTGAAGCTGGAACTTGGGCTTGTATAGCTGAGCCAGAGGTGTCTGAGTGTTTCTTTGACAGAGGACAGATGTATCAGAGTCTTTCTACCTGGGACCACAAAGGTTTAAAAAGAGTACTTGGTGGAATGATTGTTGTTTTCACACACCCTGGGAGAGAAGACAATAGCTAAATTCCCAACTATGGAAGTTTGCATGTGCACATCCCTTCTCTCCCTTGGGACTGATTTGAGAGTGTATATAATACTACAAAAAACTAAAACTTTTGCAAGTAAGCTTTTCCTTATGTAGTTCTGCCTGGGATGAACGTCAGTAAAAAGAAAAGCAAAGATGCAGATCTGGGGGAGAAGAGCACTTTAGTAATTTTAAGGTTTTCTCATTAGAATATGAATCATAGATTCAGTTTAATTATTGATGTGTACAGTAATGTTAAAACATGTTTTGTATAAAGAGTTGAAACTGGTACACAGCTTATCTGGGTCAGTGTAAGTCTCACAGAGTTGCAGGTAAATGCTTGCATCTTTCACAATTATACAAAAGTTAGAAAGTAACAATTGTACCTTAGGGTTTAGGGTATTTCCTTGGCAAGCGGCTACAATAGCTTAAAATATTACTATTGCTGTCTTGGAGGTCAGTGCCCACACAGACGTGTGAGATCTCTTAAGCTGCTTCTGTGCTGACCACCTTCTGTGGCAATTTAGGCTGAAATGGTAGCTATGAATAGTTGAGAAGGATGGTAAGGTCTTCAACTAAGTGAATTAAAGTCCCGTGTGACTCTGGGACTCCCACAGTATTTAAGGTTTTGTGAGTGTTAAATTGTTATATTGCAGAGTTGCTTTATCTTCCACTATAGAGAGCTTTTAAATAAATAATAGTCCCCAAAAGCCTTTTTATATGACTTTTATCATCCTGTCAGTGGGGTGCACATTAGTTGCAGGAATTGGTGATTATGTTTTGCAATCCTTAAGCTTGAATATTTTTTTTAATATCTTTACCTAAATGTGTTTAGGAGTTGTCATTACAGATTTTTACCAGCCCCTAGGAAACCTCTGTCACTTCATTCTGAGATGACATCAATTGAAACCGTTGTTTTGATAATTCACAGGGTCAATGATTTGAAGACTGGTAATCTGGTAGGAACTGATAAATATGGAAACAAATACTATGAAGACACAAGAAACTTCTTTGGTATGTGTGGTAACGTGAACACCTCCCAGACTGTTCAGCTTTTACAGAGCTTGTGTGGTTTCTGCTAATGAAATAGAACTTGTTGCCTGCCTGACTTCCTTGCACTTAACTTGTGTGGGTCTTTAGACAAGGGACTCATAGAAATACTTTGACATCTTCTATTTTTCTATTGCGTCCCTCAGTTCATTTGCAAACACAGTCAATCTGAAACAATAAATACGGGCTAATTAGAAGCCAATCACATGCTCTCCATGTAGGTAGAGCTATATGATAATGTGATTGAGAGCTGAATTTGATCCTTGACCTAAAAGCTGATAGCATAACAGGTGGGGGAAGAAAGAGAACTGCCTTTAAAACTGCCTCACAGCTGTACTTACTCGTATAATCACTTCAGGGCAGAGAAACACAGGTTAGCCTAAATTTCCTATTACCTTAAGTAACTGGATTTTAAATAATGTTTTTAGAGTACTTAAAAAGGTAGCACCTAAAGCAATGCAGGTAACACATAAGCAGTTGACACTGGTTAGTCCAAGCTACCTGCTGACTGTAGGTTACCTTGTAGGGTAACCAGGAAAAGCACTTGCTGGTTAACATTGCTTGGTAGTTCTATATAGCTGAAATTTAGTGTAATCTTAGGTTATCAATGACAATGTCCTTTTGGAAAAGACTTCTCATAATGGAGAAAAAAATCCCCAAACCTGTTTCTCTGCCTGAAAATTTTGTGAGTTCCTATTTCTCATCCCTTATACAATAGCTAATATTTGCCTACTTGTGAGAGGATTAGATTCAGCTATATAAAAATACAGTAACAGTGGAAATACAGAAGACTTGGAAAAATAAAAGCTGTGCTGACTGTAAAATAAGTAAGTGCCCATAATGGCAGATACTATTACTCAAAATGTTTTTCCTTGGTTTTCAAGAATTCTCTCCTTTATATGAAAATAATTTTTATTTTTGGGCTAATACAATATTTCTGTTTGTGTATTTAAGGTCGACACAGATGGGTCGTATATACTGAAGAAATGAATGGCAAAAACACGTTTTGGGAAGTTGATGGAAGTATGGTGCCCCCTGAATGGTAAACCACTTGGCTTAATTATTTGGACAGACACCAATTGTGTAATTGCCTCTATATTTTCTTGTATTACAAAGCAGAAATTTAAAAAAAAAAAGTTTTCGGGTCACAGCTATTCTATTTATGACCAGAACATTTCAGACTTGTTAGTTCATAATGTTGTATTGCTTACTGTCCTGGTAGATGCACTCACTGCTTTTTGGAACGAGAAAAGCATTTTACCAGCCAGATTGAGCAGGTTTTCCAATTTTCCTTATTAGTTGTGATTCCCTGTTAATGGTTTGGCAAAGCCTTGAGCCAACAGAAGTAAAAAAAAAAAAAATTATTTTCTGTTCTAGGCAAGAACCTAAAGAACATAAGGCAATGATGGAACAACATTCCTTAATCCACAGCCATTAACAGCACAACTATTTCAATTTATATACATTGATGTGATAATCAGCAGTAAAGGGCCAGGATGCTCTGTATGTTGACTGCTACTTAACTATAATTTTTATTAAGTTTTTATTTTCTGTCTTCCTAGATAACTCACACCACATAAAGTAACAGTGTATGCTAGTAAAAACAATCTCTGCGGTTCTCGAGGAACAGCAATAGCACTGCAGCCCCAAAGCAGCAAAAGGTGATATGAAGGAAGAGGTGTTTGGGTAGTCTAAGCATTAGCATTAGCAAACACTGGGTTTTGTTACTCCTGTGATACATGTTCTGTGCCAAGGCTGAGATTGATTATATGAACTCCTAAACTGTGGCTCTCACTAGAACACTTAAGAAGTGTGTGGGTAGATTCTCTAGGTAGTCAGTTTTGTTCCCAAATCTTCGTTCGCGAAGCCTAGCCGTGGTGGCAGTTTTGTTTCAAACTCTCCCAGCCTTATAATTATGATTAATGTGTTTAATGCTTTTTTCTATCTGATTTGGTAAGAGCTGAATGGCATTGTTTTTTAGAAGTGACATTAGAATCTCCAAGATGTTCGTGCCTTATTTGCATAATAACTGTTCTTTGGTCCTAGTTTTTATCCTTTCACTGTTAGACTGTGCTGGTTTTCAAGATGTTCCTTATTTTAAGGCAAGGGTTTTGGTTTGTTTTGTTTTATTTTTTTTTCCTTTGCTCGTGCTTATGCAGTGTTCGTTGCCTCTTTACAAACCTCAACAAAGGGTTTCTTCCTGAGTATCAAAGGGATCTTTCAAGGGTTAAGTAGCTTATTTATTTCATAGAAATTAATGAGGTAGAAAGCCTTGGTTTCCTATCAATGTGGAAGAAATTGCCCTAGAAGGGGCAGTAAACCTTTTATTATTTTCAAGACTGGTGAGTGCAATGAGGCATGAAAGGGTAAACAATCCTGTGTTCTGAGGTATTTTTGTCAGGAAACTTAGTTGTGCAGTACCATTCAGGTTTGTGGATTTGTTTTGTTATGGTTTTTTTCTTATTGTGGATAAATTTGTATGTCTTGTAACAACATGTATTTATACTTACGTAGGAATCCTGGCTTTGTGCCACATCTAAGTCACTGATGTGTATTTCCATACTGCTTAGATCCATCTTTAAAAATAGAAGTATTTTGACAGGGAATAAATGGTGTCTTTTAGGGTTTTTTTAATTATTATTATTTTTATCTGATGCTATACTGTCTTAAATTTTTAACATGACGTAAGCTTCTGAATTGAGACAATATACTGTACAAGCTGCTGTCAATGTAACAGTAGGGTTGTGCAGCTGTACAGGTTTTTGCACAAAACCTGAATGGTTATTTTGGACCCAGAAATTTGTTGGAAATAAATTAGACTCTGTGTAATTACTTCTGTTAACAAGGGGATTAATTAATATATAGTATAATAGTATGAGACATGTTTTTCATACTTGGGTTGACTTGGAAGTGTATAAAGTACTGCTGTAACACCTGGGTGTGATCTGAATACTTATTCTAAGTATTTTTTTTTTTTTTTTTTACTCCAGGATGTAGTTGATTCAGCTCAGTGGATCATTTTGTGGGTGTGTTGTTGTACCCACTGCAGGTGGAAGCAGGTTTTACTACAGTGTTTATGCTGATGTTACTTTCAGAAAACATTTTGCAACTGTCACTCCTAAAGATGACACTTTGAACAAAATCAAAGTTTAAGACCAAGGCTAGCCTAGAATTTTCAGGTTTTTCTTTTTTAAATAGTAAAGCTAACTAGTTTGTAATGATTTTGTAGTTCTCTTATAAAAATGCTACTGTATTTAGGATTACACTGCTGGTTATCTTACTGATTACACCCTTACACAGAGTACACTGCATTCTAAAGTATAATTTTGCAGTCAGTTGTGTGCCTTCTGGATTGTGGAATATGAATGATTGTTCAGATATAATCAGGTGAACCTCATGCGTGATGAACTAGAAAAAAACATTTTGGTATGTTGAAAAGTTTTGAAAACAACTGGAAAAAACAATGCTACCCTTTACCTCCTGTCAGATACTAAAGAAAAGGGAAAAGCAGCAAGAAAAAAAAATCTTATATGTAATAACATATTGTTGAACTGGTTTTAGAAACTAGTGAATATTTTCAGTGTTCTGAAATAATTGATGTAATGTCTCCTGACAGCGGATATACTGAAATTACAGTCTGAAGGAAATCAAAGTGTTGTTTTGACATATGTCTACTATGCAGGGAATCAAGACTGTTGCTTTTCTAAAATGTTGCCACACTAGAATATGTAGGTTTGTGGTTTATTCTGATTTAGTTGTGTTATTTAACCTCTTTGTTACTCTAGGTTTTCTTTTCTTGTCTTCAAAATCCAAATGTCGGTATCTACTTCACTGGAGACAAGTTAATTAGATTTTTTAAAAATGCCTTCAACACTTGCCTGAGGAATGCTTAGTATTCACTTACTGTAATGCTGTACAAGATATTGGGCACATTTTTTTTCCCTTTTACACTTCTAGACAGAAAAACAAAAATACTTGTTTTGTCTCCTGCTGGTCAGAGTATGCTGTTTGCAGGAACTCAGTGCTTCCATTTTTGAACACACTGATCATGTGCGCTCTGTGAACATATGAACCATAGAGGTTAAATCCATTTATACCAATGCCTGTATGGACTCTGTTTAGTGCTTTCATAGATGTTTTCATTGCAGAATCACTCTAGTCATTGGGCTGTGTGTTTAAACTATTTGTTTAGTGTATTTCTGGCTAAATGTACTTTGGTTTGTGTTTTGGCTGGATACTTAGCAAAAACAAATTGACAACTGGTTAAAGTGTACATACTAGTTAAAAAGAAATTGTTCTTTCAAGATCATCCTGTGGGGAAAGAAGAATTGTAATTTGAGAATAGTTTTTCTGTTTTGTAGGGACACTTCATTTTGCCAGCACTGTCCTTTGTATTTGTAGTAGCTGTCCTGTACTTCAGTGTTTATTTCCTTGTGGTGCAAATCTGACATCTTTGGGAGGACTATCAGCAGTACTGACTTCATATAATGAAATATTTCAAGTTTACCTTCAGTTTAATAATCTGCATCCTCTTTGTTAGTTGATCTGACAGCTGAAAGAGAGAGGAATGTAGCATCTCAGACTTGAAGTGCCAACACACTAGGAAATGTAAGGAAATGTGTGATTTTCCTGTAAAAAAAATGCTGCTTTTCAAGTCTGCCTTCAAGGAAAACAGAACAAAAAGATTGCAGGAAAGGAAGGGGAGTAAAATTTCCATCCTTCCTGTAGCTTCATAATAAATTTGTGGGGTTTTACAACTAGATTAAATGCTAGTTTGGTGTTTTCGGGTAAATGCCATCTCATTGCTATACAATAACTTATAGTAGCTTATATGAGAAATTAAAGTTATCTTCCATGTGTAAACAAACACATTTTTTGTCCCTTTTTCATTCTCTCCCTATTCTTCTCTGCACTTTGACCCTAATGCACATCTTCATTTCTCTTGTCTCGTTGCAACATGGTGAACTTGTTGAAAAAAGTGGATGTTAATGAGTTGGCAAACATCCTCAACTTACGTAGTCTGTGCCTGAACCTTGCAGATGCACATATGGTAGTAGCTACTGAGTTTGTATAGCAGCAGTTCTTGTTTGACAGCTTGTACATCATATAATTGGCTCCGATCCCTTGTAGCTTCAGATTGAAATCAACTTGCTTTTAAACATTTGTTAAGACTTGGGAGAAAATTTTACATAGTCTTGAGAGCATTTGAAGATACTTTGAGGTGTCTTTCATCCCTTCACTCAAGGAAAAGTCCAGAGGCTTTCCTGGCCTCACTCTGCTTGGTAGTGACTGCTCTGATTCAGGAAACTGCTTCAGCCTCTTCAGAGCTTCTGCTACCCTCCTGATTTTTTTTGCTCTGTGTAAGTTTTCTGCTTTGTAGGTTTGAAGTCATTAATTGCTTTTGAAGCCTATTTTTCCATGCATGGATTTATAGGCAGAGTTTGTATAGAAATCTGGCCATCTGCAGGATGTCAAATCTCTTTATTCATGCTATTCAATCTAGTGCATGAAAAGCTTTTCTTGAGCATCTGGGAGTAGTCTATGAGACATCAAGGCTTCAAAAGATTCTTTGAGGAAGGTTGTCAAGGGGAAAGTCTCCCCAAAATAAAGTTTTCAAGATTTTAAGTGGAGAGTGGGAGCTTTTGTTTGAGAGAGCAGCTCTACAAACCAAAATGCTCTTGTAAGTCACATAGCGGGCTTCTAAGGGGAATCTGTTATGACCTGGTTTAACCCTGAAACTTAAATATAATTCATTGTGGATTAAGTTATAAACAAACTTTTGAAATCTCTCTATGTATTTCAATACCTGTACTGACATGTCTTGTCAGTGAGCAATTTTATCGCTACTTTTCAGTGAGAAAATGCAATTTAAGGATCAGTTTTGCTACTTATTTAAATTTGAGGCTGATTTCATTTTGTGTTACAGAAATTCAGAAAATCCTGAAAGTAAATATATTAATTACCAAAAAATACTGTATTTTACAAGACTTTATGGATTTAGTCTTAGAAAAGCTGCAAAACAATAGTTTAAATGACAGATAAAGCTACTACTCTCTTAAATGATTCTGTGAAACCTTTCTCATGTTTCAAGGAATGAGTGTATGATATTAAGTACACGTGTAGTAATAGAAGTGCCAGACATCATGCAAGCTTGGAATCTGGTTGATTTCAGCTGAGTGTTAATACAGTAATTGTGCTCCACCTGCTCCAGCCTGTCTTTCGGGGGCCTTTGTAACTGCATTTCTTCTGACAGTTTTCTGTTGGTGTGCATGGCTCTTGGAGGAGGATGAGGATGGTGAGGCATGGTGACAGATGTGTAAAGAGGAATTTGTGTGCAGGATCCTTATCCACTGTTACCAGAAGCATCACTAGGTGCAGGTGTGTGAGTTTAAGTTGCCTCTGTATGTGTCGTGGTTTAACCCCAACCAAGCCCCACACAGCCACTCGCCCACTCCCCCATGAGCAGCATCGGGACAAGAATAGGAAACATAAAAGCCAGGAAACTCGTGGGTTGAGATAAAGGCAGTTTAATAGAGAAAGCAAAACCTGCACATGCAAGCAAAGCAAAGCAAGGAATTAACTCCCTGTTTCCAATGGGCAGGCAGGTGTTCAGCCGTCTCCAGGAGAGCAGGGCCCCATCACGCGTAACAGTGACTTGGGAAGATGAGTGTCATCAGTCCAAATGTCCCCCCCTTCCTCCTTCTTCCCCCAAACTGATATACTGAGCATGATGTCATATGGTCTGGAATATCCCTTTGGTCAGTTTGGGTCACCTCTCCTGGCTGTGTCTCTTCCCAGCCTCCCATGCACCCCCGATCTCTTTGCCAGCGTAGCAGTATGAAAAGCAGAAAAGGCCTTGGCTCTGTGTAAGCCCTACTCTTCAATAACCAAAACATCTCTACGTTATCAACCCTGTGTTCAGCACAAATCCAAATCACAGCCCCATAGTAACCACTGTGAAGAAAATTAAATCTACCCCAGTCAAAACTTTTGTCAAGTGAATTTTTTGGTACTAAAGTTATAGCCGAAGTTGTGTTGTTTTTTTGTTTTGTTATTTTTTTTTTAAATTCATGTCCGGAAGCTATTTGAAAAGATTAACAACCTTCTGTAGAGCCCTTCAGATTTAGAATATACCTGTCAGTCTATTTCTCACCACTTCCACTGTGGTTTTGTTCTACTGTATTAATGAAATGTACTGGATTTGTTGCTAAAGGCTGAAGATACGTTTTTTTAGGCTTTCTAATACAACTGGAAGACTTCATATTTTTAGGTCAAGTCTTTGCAAAAGCTGATTAGCAAAAGTCTTTTTAATTCTACCTCAGTAAAAAAATACATAAGCTTGCAAAAAAGTCATAACTTCACTTTTGTCATAACTGTGCGTATAGTATGAAGTACATGTGAACTAGCAGATAATTAAAATATAATTCAGATATGAAAGTTGCTTCAGGCACTGAAATAGAAATGGGATATCAATTCAGTTGGTCCCTGCTGTAGTGTTTAAGTAAATTGTTAGGGAAAATGCTTTGCTTGATGATTAATGTTGCTTGCACAGAGAAGGATTGACATTTAGTTCATAGGTAAAGGCTAATCACTGTAATCACTTGGTAATTACCCTATTGCTGATTGGTATTAATCATTTTATTGTGCAGTCAGTAAACATTTGCATGCTTGTTTTAGATGTACTTGCATCGTTAATCCATATCCCAAATGGTAGTCTCATGAATGCTTTGGAAATGGTATTGAAATTGCTGCGCAGCATAGTCTTCTGGTAATTAAAAACAAAACAAACCCTCAAAACCCAACAAATCAAAAACCCAGAGAATAAAACCAAACCTTGTGATTTTGTCATTCGTAGGGCCTGCCTTGACCTGGCCGCCTGGTTAAAGCCATACAAACACATAACAATGTACTCTGCCTAAATACTCAGCATACAAACAAACAGGAAATTTGAACTCAGGTGTGCTTCCAATTGCATGGAGGCAGAACTGGTTTTTTTATCAGTTAGGTTTGTGTAACTACTTTAAATCAGTATCCTGTAGTCTCATTCAAAGCCACACCGGATTATTTTTCTCCTCTCTCAAAAGAAATACTTAGTGTCTCTTCAGAGGAGAACCCTTGGGAGTCAGGAGATAGGCTTGTTGGAGAGCATGTAAAGTTCCGTAATAACAATGTGTCTTTTTCCTCTTAAGGCATCGCTGGCTCCACTCAATGACGGATGACCCTCCGACTACTCATCCACCAGTTGCTCGTAAATTTATCTGGGAGAACCATAAATTCAACTTGAGTGGCACCCCTGGGCAGTACGTGCCTTACTCTACTACTCGCAAGAAGATCCAAGAGTGGATCCCCCCTAAAACAGCCAGCAAATAACAGCAACAGAAATGTGACTTGCCTCAGCTTTGGCTTTCAGTATAAATTGTATCTTCACTGGTTTGTTCAGAATAAAAGCCTCCTATAACAGCTGTAGTTTAGTTTATTGAATTGGAGGGGAGAACAAGTGAGAAAACATTGGGAAGAGGACAGAACATATGACAGGTCTTAATCTCATGAACATACTGGGCTTTTTCTCGTATCATCAGTGTCCTGTCTTCACATAAGCAGCTCTCAGACTCTTCTTAGCATGATAACCATTCCTGTGACAGTCACTCCTCACCTTTGAAATACAGCTTTCTCGTGTTTTGATGTTATCCTATTACAGTCTCTGCATGGCAAATAATGCACTCTTCGTATACTATTTTAGGAGGCCATCTCTCTAAATTTTTATAAGTTAGAATAATAAGGCCAATCCAAGATGATAGTTTTTACTCATAAAATGTGCATGAGTATGTTCATGAGTGTGCAGAAAGCATTGTTATATTCCAGTATGGTATGATACACAATATAAAACTTGTAAGACTGCATTAATCAAATGACATCTCCACCCCCTAAGAGAGTCATAAGCAGAGGGCCCTCTGTCACAAAAATCTCTTTTGTTGCTTCTGTGTTGCTGAGATTTATTACAAGGTATTCTCATAAGGCTTTGGGATGAGCTGTTTGTCCTCTTGTGACAAGATTTTAGAGGTCTTTTGGAGTTTGAAAATGCACCTTTTTAGGAGGTACAGAGATAAAATGTATCAGAGCCTAGTCTCAAAAATGTGAAGTTTTCAAGTTCACATTTGAAAGAGAGTTGTTTGGGGCTGTGGCTTTTTTTCTATAAGTTGCTAATGGTTGACTTCTATTGCAGCCTGCTAATGTTTTTTAGCAGAGTTGCCATCTCCACAAGGCTTCCTGTATCTGATGACCTACTCTGTGGATAACTAGTGGGGGGGGTGCCCACCCAGCCCCTCAACTGGATGGGGGAGAAAATAGAAAGCTCATGGGTTGACATAAAGATGGGGAAACTGCTTGCCAGTTACCATCATGAACAAAAGAGACTTTAATATATTACCAAGTAAAATAGACTTGCATGGTGAGAATCAAAGACAAAAAATGTAAATTACCACCTTCCCTCCCCACTTCTTCCCAGGCTCAACTTCACACCTTCATTCCTGACTCCTCTATCTTCCCCCTCCTGGGGTGAATGGGGGTTGTGGTCAGTCCATCACAGCTCCTCTCTGCTGTTCCTTCCTTGTACATTCCTCCTGCTTCGGTGTGAGTCCTCTTCATGGCTGCAGTCCTTTGGGATATGCCCAATATGGGTTTTCCACAGGCTGCAGTTCCTGTTGGGAAATGCCTGCCTGCTGGCATGGGTTCTTCCCGGGGTTCTCAGGAATCTCAGCTCTGGCACCTGCAGCACCTCCTCACCCTCCTCCTGCTCTGAATTTGGTGTTCACGTGGCTGCTGCACACTTCTTTTCTCCCTGTCTTCTGTCTGTGTAATGTTTCTTGCCCCATCTGAAATACTCTTTCCCAGAGGTGCCACCACCTTGGCGGCCAGACTGAGCCGTGCCCTGTGGTGGGTTGGTTGTATCCAGCACAGGGCAGCCCCAGCCTCTCCCCACAGAGGCCTCTGCAGACCTCGCTGCCAGCACCTTGACAATTCCACCCAGTGCACTGACTTAGAGGAATCATTGTGGAAGATGACTAAGGGGTTTGGATATATTACATGCTTGCAATTGCCTGTCAAGAAGAAAAAACCTTCTTTGCTCCCCAGTAGCCCCCACAGTGGCTGCATATCTGACTCTACACTGGCTACTTTTCCTTCATGTGCCTGCCTGACTGGGTCACTTAACCCCCAGTTGCTTCCTTATTAAATCAAGTTCGTATTAATTCATTATTTAAAAGTGGGGGTTTTAGCTTTAATTGCTTTAAACTGGTTCCAGTCTTTAAATTAGTAGGAAGTAGCACCAAGATCTCCTAACCTATCTAATTAGAAAGGGGTAATGTTTAATTTACTTTAAGTCAACAAAAGCACTGAGCACAGATGAAAAGCAATTTGAGGCACACTGAACAGTGAACATGGAAAGGACTTGTTTAACATTTTAATCTTGATAGATTATTTGACCCTAAGAACAAAGTTTGCCCCAGTGCTGCTGAAGAGTTTCATTACTAACGCTCATCTATACAAGCCCTATGGGCTCAAACACAGATAAAGCAATAAACTTTATTTGTTTTAGCCTCTACTTCTCTTTAATGCATTTTCTACCTATTTCATTCCTCTTCTTTCTTTGTCCTGCCCATTTTTGGTTTGCTTCCTAAACACACATCAGGAGGTACAGTTGGGAATGAGACTCTACTCAGGGAATAGATAGTAACTCTTACTACACATTCCATGCTGAAAAAAGAGGTATCAGAGCCTGTTTGTCCTTTTGTTGTCATCTGGAACAGAAATATTGAGGTAGCAAGCCGTTTTGAACAACTTTGTGTGCAGCAATGCTCCACAGAAAGAGAGAAAAATGAGCTTTCCTCCTGCCCCGCTGGGCTGAAGCAAGCCTAAGGACTCAGTAGTTTGGTTTAGAAAATATCATCAATCCCACTTTCTGGAGAGGACAGAAACCCGCTCATCCTGCTTTATCCAGCAGGAACCACAAATGGTGGATTTTAAATGCAAAATTTTCACTGGCATCTCTTGTAGCATTGTTTCTCTAAGGTAGATTGCACAAGGCACGCACAGGAAATAAAGCATATGCAGAAAAATCAGTGCTCTTCCACAGGGCTTTCTGCAAACGCTTCTGCAATTCAGTCTTTTTATCAGCAACCTCACTGAGTTATGGAAGTTCACCTTTGCTGGTGACATCTGCCTCAGTATTCAGGCTCAGTTCCATTCTGGTCTACATGACGTTTTAAATGCCAAGCTAGCCAAGAGTCTCAGCAGATGGTGTCTTCAACCAAGTGCAACCAAAGCACTGACAGGAATATTCCCCTTGCACTAAATGTGATTCTTAAAAAAACCAACCTTCTGACATGAAACAGTCTCTTTAAGAAGACAGGAACCTCTTCCAGGAGCAGCAGAGTGCTGAAACCCCCTTTTATTTTAAAATTATGTCTGTTCCAGTAGCTTTCCACATCCCCACGGTCCAGATCAGCCCTTTGCTGTAGCTGCCTCCAGGCTTTTGCTGAGCTCACAGCACACTCGTCTCAGCCCTGTGCACTGGAATGGAGCCCTTCCCTCCATGGGGTAGGCATCCTCTCGCTGCTGCCAGCTCTGCACCTCTGCCCGGTACAGCTGAAACTGGCCATGGGACGCGGGGGTGGAGAATGACGGTGAGAGGAGCTTCGGGAGACCATCTCCCCCCGTGAAGATCCCAGTAAGAGCAGGTCAGTCCTGGGGCGTGTGACACGGCTCTGCAGCGCTGCTGGCCACGTGTGCCCCCTGTGCACCGTGTCAGCCCCGCTGCCGAGCCGGCTGCGCTGCGCAGCGGGACAACACGCCCCCGTCTCGGGATGACTCTGTCAGCAGGGAGGTCAGCACAACACAGCATTAAAATAACAATTTTAATGTTAGATGGGGTCCACTGGGAGTGTGGTGCTTACTAAGCCTCCATGTTTTGACCTCGAGACCCAAAAATTGCCCTGACTGCACAGTTCTGGAGCAGGTGAAGGTTGCCTTGCAGACAGAGGACCTCTGCAGTAGGTGAGTACAAACAACACTGTTTAATGGTCTCCAAACTTATATTGGCCATGATGTTGAAAGTAGCTAATGAATCTGCTGTGGCTGTTTGGCAAAATATTTCAGCACATGAGATAGATGGAGGGGAGAGGCAGCACTAGCATTGCACTGAAGAGCTTGCAGCAAAAAGTTAACATTTCATAACCATTTCTAGCTACAGCAAGAGGAGAAATCTTTGACAGGCCAGGACATCCTAGAGCATTTAAGAAAGCTGGAATAAGAGAGCAGGAGGTCTTGTCCTCCACTGTCCGACCTGTGCTGTACTACTGATTTCCTGCATGCTGTGCCCACTTGGGTCCTTGAGGGCCTGCTAAGAACATTCAGATAGTCACCAACTCATATTTCCATGTCATCTAACCTCAGGCTTCAATTTTTGGGATGTTTCCTGCTAGAAGTTGGTGTTGGAGAGCAGTCTTAAGTGGGAATTACTGGGGAAATTGTTTTGGATAGAGCTGGAAGTCATCAGCCCAGAAAGCTGAGGTATAAATTTTCCACAGCTGTAATGCATTCAGAGTGAAACCTTTGTTACTAATTCTTTGGGGCCTATTATTCCATTGGCAGCTGAGGAAAAGAGAGGGAACAGATCCTTGCTTTTCTGAGAAGTTAAATCTAGGCAAATCTAAAGGCTCTGCATTCATGTGCTGTTTGCAAAGAGTGTACAAAAGCAGGTACTTCAAGGTGTGGGCAAAAGTGGCAGCCTTTAAATAGCACCCTGGGTTCCTCACACAAATCCCACAGTAAATTCTGGATTGCACCAAGGGGAAGCATATTTCAGTGGAAGATATCAGAAAAACCCATGTCAGTGGGGAAGAGCCCAGCAGGTATTTCGTCTCTGAGACCTGCTGAGCTTTGAACACCACCCTCTGGTTCCCAGGCAGAGCAGGACCCACATGCTGGAGCTGGTGGTGGCTCTTACTTCCAGTATGGAGTCCAGGAAGGGGATCGCTTTGCTGGGTGTGCCATTCCCAGCTGCCAGCAGGGGCAGGACCATGCTCAGTTTGCAGAAGACCTCAAAGGCCCCAGAGACTTCCCTTTGCTGAAAGGCCAAAACCAGGTCTGGCCATTTCCTTGTGGTTTTGAATCGCTTGTAACGTCACTTCCCAGACTGAATTTTGCAGATGCTCTTAGCTTTGTTCATGTGCAACAAAGGACAGAATTGAAGCAGGATCTTGTGTTTTCAAA